TGAGAATTTATTAAGAGGAAATGTTCCAAGTTTTTCGTGGTTGGATAAATTTAAAATATTTGGGAAATTTACAAAAAAAATTGTGTCGTTTATATGCCATTGATCAGTATTTTAAAAGGCGCACTTTAATGGCTCTTAGGCGTGATGTGCGGCGAAAATGTCAAGCCACACCTTATTTAGTGGTCAATGGGCCGCTAATGCGTGCCAAAGCACGATTATGAGCGCCTATTATTTTCTCTTCTTTTTTCAAATTTTTTCTTAAATTCTTTTGCAATTCTTTTAAGTTAAAATTTAAAGATTGATTTCTTCATTTCATCTGTCCTAGATTCAAATCAACCGTTTGAAACTTTGAACGAAGGAAAACTCTTAGCAATTTTTGTTTATTTACTATTTAGTATTTATATTTGAAACTTATCTTTTTGTTGAAAACTTTAAATATGTATAAAATTCCTATAAATCTATTTTAGATGTTTGGTAGGTATTATTTTTAATTATTAAATGATTTTTTGATTGATTAAAAATTAAAATAAGAAAATGCATTTTTACATTTATACTTCGCCCATAACTTGACCTTTACGTATCATCACGTATTAAGTCTTTTAGAACAGTGCCATGAATATGCTGCCATCTCCATCACCGCCATTTGTAATAAACTATGTTACACTTGACAATAACGTCGCCTAACACTATGATCACTTGCCCACAATGTGGGCTAACGCTTCGCTAATATATCTTTCCTTTGTAAGTACTTTTGTCAAAGTGATTTTTTAAAAGTCACTTTTCTCCGGCAGCACATTCTTAAAAAAAATATTTTTCATGTTTTTGCATAATCTTATTCTACTTTATAATTACACATCCTTAAAAAATAATTGTTTTTCAAATAATCACTTCCGCACAAGCTTTAAATTATTTTGGACGACAGAATGTATTTGATGTACAATAATATTAAGGAAGATGTACATATATAATTACAGAATGCCAAGCGACAGATTTTTATTGAACTTTGTACAAAAAAATAGATTTAAAACAGTAATTAAATTCCGCCATGTCATCATCGGTGAAGCTTTTTGGCATTACAATATGTACAAAGCAGCTTTACTCAAAGATTAATGAGGGTGCTGTTTGCCCAGGTTGGATTTTGCCAAGAGGCGCCGTCCTTGGATCGTTTCATTCAAGTCTTTGAGTAAACCATTTGGACATATATGGCCTTCAAATTTAAACTCACTGAATCCACTTAAGGCTTTCCCTATTAATCTTCAATAAAACTAAATGCCCAGGCTTAAAGCCAGGGCAAAATCTAGGGGGCCAAGTGGCGTCTGTTGGAAAAAATTCCAACTTGGGGGGTCACACATGTACATTTATTAGAATGTGTAGTGCTATTTTAAAGTAAATTTAGTCGATAAAGTGATTCATTGGATTTCATTTTGGACTAATGAGTATTAAATTTTATGGGATTAAAGTGTAGAGACCAGAATGTGTTATTTTGAATTGATGAGGGGCCGATTTGAAATAACTTAAATTTAATAAATGTCAATTACAGTTATTTTAATAAATGGTTATGGTCCCCAATTTGAACATGATTTTTTTTGGTATATCTACATCCCCATCAACAGAGACTTTTCAAGAAAACAAAGGAAGGAAAATCACGTATCAATTGGAAGATCAAAACTCAATTAAAGTAGTCAGATTCATGGATCAAGGTATGTTTCCTCAGTTTTCATTGTCTCTTTGATTTCAACATGGAATTTATGATTTTATAAAAGGATTTTATGAATATGGTTCCTTTCAATTTGTACAACAAGTGGTATCAGAGCCATCCATTATTGAAATCTTTGAGAAATTGCAATAATTTGGTATTTTTTGGGTTATTGTTATGGATCTTCCATGATATTTATGTGAAATTTATATTACTGCAATTTTTTTTTTCTTTTGAGATTTTCAAATTTAACTATTTGGATTAATTATTGTTGAATTTGAGAATTGTTTGGCATATTATTTATGGTTATAGATCTAGATCCAGTAAAAGGATTTTGGAATCTAAAGTTTTGAAATTTCATTTTTCGGTTTTGGTTTTAAAAAAAAAAATATTTTTTTTTGCAACTGGATCTGGCCAGCGGCGGTGTCGCTGCCGGCGCTGGCTGCTGTGCAATTTTGTAATCTCAGGTCCTTGCTTGCAATTTCTAATTAGGGTTTTAAAATTAAAAATTTAAATTTCAGTCCCTAAACTTTGTTATCCATCCAAGTTGGACCTTAAGGTTATGTGTTTAATAATTCAGCCCCTAGATTTTGGAAAATTATTTAATCTGGGCCATTAAACTTTTGAATTTTTCAATTAAAGCCCCCAAAGTTCATAATTAATTAAAATTGGCCCTTAAAGTTTTAAAAATTTTCAAATTTTGATCCCTAAAGTTTTGAATTATTAACCCTTAGGTCCCTAAACTTTCTAAAGGCATCTAATAATGCAAAATTAGTGATTCTCTCTCTAAAATTTTGGTACTAAAGACTCCCTTAAGAGGAAGAATTAAGATTTAATTATGTGGGACAATAAAATTCAAATATTTTGGTAATTTATTCATAATAAATTAAGTTTATCTAACATTTTGAATAAACTAATTGAAACAATAGGTCGCCAAAGTGACATCTTTTGTGTAGATTGGTTTATTTGGATGTTTAGATGTTGTGTGTGTGTTTCTTTATGCGGGTATTAGCCGGCCCAAAGGAAGGTTAATACTTGGCCGAATTACATACATACTTGTGGTGGTGAATGTGTGACAATTATAAGGTTTCCATGTAAATAATAAATCAATCCAAAGATAGGTTTTTTATTTGACAGGAGTTATTGTCAATGTTCAATCACTATACCAAGAGTACCACTTGCAATTAGTATTATTGTCCAAAGACTTGATATTAATGTTGCACTAGGTATCTTGAGATGGGGCTTACCATTATTTGAATTTATTGTTCATTAAATATGGATATGAGCATAATTAATTGTTTCTTTCTGTTCTCTCTACAGCTAGTTCATCTGCTACTACAATATCTGCTAATGTCAATTCAATTCCCATACTTAATGGAACAAACTTCAAGGATTGGAAAGAGAACATATTGATTGTTCTTGGCTGCATGGATCTTGACCTTGCACTTCGGGTTGAGGAACCCACTCCTCTTACGGAAGAAAGTTCTCCTGATGAAAGGAGGAACTTTGAGAGGTGGGATCGCTTAAATCGCATGAGTCTAATGATCATTAAGCGCGGCATTCCGGAAGCCTTTAGAGGTGCAGTATCCGAAGGGATAACTTATGCCAAGGAGTTCCTTGCCGAAATTGAGAAGCGTTTTGTGAAAAACGATAAGGCTGAAACAAGCACGCTTTTGCAAAGCTTGATTTCAATGAGTACAAAGGCAAGGGAAACATAAGGGAGTACATCATGGAGATGTCTCATATTGCTTCAAAACTTAAAGGTCTAAAGCTCGAGCTATCTGATGACTTGCTCGTTCATTTGGTATTGATCTCGCTTCCTGCACAGTTCAGTCAATTTAAGGTTAGTTATAACTACCAGAAGGAGAAATGGTCTCTAAATGAGCTCATTTCATATTGTGTGCAAGAGGAAGAAAGGTTGAAGCAAGAAAGAACTGAAAGTGCTCACTTGGCCAGCACTTCTAAGGATAAGGGCAAGAAAAAGAAGAAGGAATATGAAACTGCTCATAAGGGTCCAGCACAAAAGAAACGAAAGGAAGACAAAGATACTTATTTTTTTTTTTGCCATCAGACTGGACATATGAAGAAGGACTATGCCAAATATCACGCATGGCGTGCAAAGAAAGGTACAATTCTTACTTTGGTGTGTTCATGAATAATTTAGCTTCAGTACCTAGAAACACTTGGTGGATAGATTCTGATGCTACTACTCACATTAGTGTTTCTATGCAGGGCTGCCTGAGCTACCGAAAGTCAAGTGATGGTAAAAGATACATCTATGTTGGTGATGGCAAATCGGTGGAAGTTGATGTAATAGGCACTTTTAGGTTATTATTAGGAACTGGTAATTATTTGGATTTGGAAGACACTTTCGTTGTACCGTCTTTTAGACGAAATTTAATTTCTGTTTCTTCTTTGGACAAATCGGGATATTGTTGTTCATTTGGAAACAATCAATTTAGTCTTTCTTTAAATTCCAATATTATTGGTACTGATTAATTATCTACATATGATAACCTGTATTTGCTTGATATTATTGCATCATATAATGAGACCTTGCATGTGGATTCACGTGGTACTAAACGCAAATTAAATAAAGAAAATTTTGCAACATTATGGCATAAGCGCTTAGGTCACATCTCAAAAGCTAGAGTTGAACGACTTGTGTCAGATGGTATTTTGGATTCCCTTGACTTCAAGGATTTTGATGTCTGCATCGAGTGTATCAAGGGAAAACAGACGAAACAAGGAGATTAGGTGCTAAAAGAACTTCAGACGTCTTAGAATTGATATACACAGATATTTGTGGACCATTCCCTACAGCTTCTTGGAATGGCCAACAATATTTTATATCATTCATAGACGATTACTCACGTTATGGGTACCTGTATCTAATACATGAAAAGTATGAGTCACTGGACGTGTTCAACGCTTTTAAAGCTGAGGTTGAGAATCAACTCAACAAAAGGATAAAAAACTTTAGATCTGACCGTGGTTGTGAGTACTACGGCAGATATGACGGTTCAGGTGAACAATGTACGGGACCATTTGCTAAATACCTAGAGGAATGTGAAATCGTCCCACAATACACCATGCCAGGATCGCCTAGCATGAATGGTGTAGTTGAAAGACGAAACAGAACTCTTAGGGACATGGTAATGAGTATGATTAGTCATTCCACCTTACCAAAATCACTCTGGGGAGAAGCATTAAAGACTGCAGCTTATATTTTCAACAGAGTACCAACTAAGGCTACTGCTGAAACACCTTATGAACTTTGGACAGATAGAAAGCCTAGTTTAAACCATTTTTACATTTGGGGATGTCCAGCTGAGGCTAGGCCTTATAGGCCACATGAAAAGAAATTGGACTCCAAAATAGTTAGCAGCTATTTTATTGGTTATTCTGAGCGATCCAGGGGCTATAAATTTTATGATCCCACACTTAAGTCAATTTTTGAAATGGGAACCACAACTTTTTTTGAGGATGTTGAGTTTGGGGGGAGAAATAAGGTTAGAGACATTGTCTTTGAGGAAGAAGTTGAGGAAGGATCGGTTTCGATTCCTACTATTGCTTTTGATAATGTACAAGTTTCAATACTTGTTGTTGATCAAGAAGCATATCCAGAACCTCAACAAGACAATGTTGAAGTACATCCCATCCAAAATGAGGTAATTATTTCAGAAATACAAACTCAACAACCTCAAAAGCCAATACCATTAAGGAGATCCACGAGAGAGAGAGAGAGGAAAAGTACTATTTCGGATGATTTCATAGTATTTCTCCAAGAACATGAGGAAAATAATGGAATGGTAGGAGATGATCCAATCAATTTTCCATCAGGCCATGCAGGGTTCTAACTCTCAAAAGTGGATTGATGCCATGAATGAGGAGTATAAGTCTATGCAAGACAATAAAGTTTGGGATCTTGTCTCGTTACCTGAAGGTGTGAAGCCCATTGGTTGTAAATGGATTTTTAAAACCAAGAGGGATTCAAATGATAATGTGGAGAGATATAAGGCTCGTCTTGTGGCTAAAGACTTTACCCAAAAGGAAGGTATTGATTTCAAAGAGACTTTCTCTCCAGTTTCAACGAAAGACTCTTTTAGGACAGTTATGGCACTTGTTGCGCACTTTGACCTTGAGTTACATCAGATGGATGTCAAGACGACGTTTCTCAATGGTGACATTGATGAGACAATCTATATGGTACAACCAGAAAACTTTGTGTCAGGAGACTCGAAGAACATGGTTTGCAAATTAAAGAAATCCATCTATGGGCTCAAGCAAGCTCCCCGTCAACGGTATCACAAATTTCATCAGGTCATTATTTCATTTGGTTTTGAGGTAAATGTCATTGATGATTGTGTGTATCACAAGTTTAGTGGGACTAAGCATATTTTTCTGGTTTTGTATGTTGATGACATACTGCTTGCCACTAACGATATAGGCATGTTGCACGAAACCAAGAAATTTTTATCGAAGAATTTTGAGATGAAAGATCTTGGTGACGCCTCTTTTGTATTAGGGATTCAGATACATCGGAATCGTTCTCGAGATATTCTTGGATTGTCACAAAAGAGTTATATCGATAAAGTACTTAAGAGGTATGGCATGCAAGACTGTAAACCAGGTGACACCCCTGTCGCTAAGGGAGACAAATTTAGTCTCAAACAGTGCCCGCAAAATGACCTTAAAGCTAAGGAAATGCAGAAGATTCCCTATGCATCAGCTATTGAGAGTCTAATGTATGCTCAAGTATGTAGACGCCCAGACATAGCATTCATTGTCGAAATGCTAGACAGATATTTAAGCAACCCTAGGATGGATCATTGAAAGGCAGCCAAAAGGGTTATGAGGTATCTTAAGAGAACAAAGGATTATATACTCACATATAGCAGATCAGATCAGTTAGAGATCATAGGGTACTCCGATTTTGATTTTGCTGGATGCCAAGATAGTAGAAGATCCACATCAGGTTATATTTATTTGCTAACTGGAGGAGCTATTTCCTAGAAGAGTGCCAAGCAGACACTCATAGCTTCTTCTACCATGGCAGCAGAGTTTGTAGCATGCTATGAGGCATCTAATCATGGAATATGGTTGCGAAATTTTGTCACTGGGCGCTGCATTCTGAATGGCATAGAAAGACCACTAAAGTTGTATTGTGACAACAACTCAGCAGTTCTATATTCTAACAACAACATGAGCTCATCTAAGTCAAAACATATTGACATTAAATTCCTGGTTGTGAAGGAAAGAGTACAGAGTGGACAGATTTCTATAGAGCACATTGGAACAAACTCCATGATTGTGGATCCGCTCACTAAGGGATTACCACCTAAGGTCTTTCATGAGCACACCGCTCATATGGGTGTTGTACTTCTTGAGGATATCATGTTTTAGTAGGAGTTTGTATTCTTATTGTTTTATATATGTTTAGTTCTTTGGACACATTTGTGTATTTGGACATTTTCTGTACAGAAATAAAGTATTCAGTTCATTCCATTCTGTTATTATGTTCAGTATTGATCTCACTTAAGAAATAAGGTTAGACCAGTTGGAAATAGACATGTTCGGATCACATAACATGTAATTTCCATGCTATATTCCCATAATTGATCTATATCATTTGGTTGTATGGGTGTACGTGACCATTGATGAATTTAGTCACGCTAAATGTGACGAAAATCGCTTTGATCCTACATTGATATAACTAATGGACGAGATTGTTTGGAAATACCCTTAATAACGATAGCACAGTTTTGAGCTCATAAGTCTGTGCACATTTATAATGTAACATGTTTGGCCCAATGGGAGATTGTTGAAAAAAATTCCAACTTGGGGGGCCACACATGTATATTTATTAGAATGTGTGGTGCTATTTTAAAGTAAGTTTAGTCGATAAAGTGATCCATTGGATTTAATTTTGGACTAATGGGTATTAAATTTTATGAGATTAAAGTGTAGAGACCAGAAGGTGTTATTTTGAATTGATGAGGGGCCGATTTGAAATAACTTAAAGTTAATAACTGCCAATTGCAGTTATTTTAATAAATGGTTATGGTCCCCAATTTGAACGTGATTTTTTTTTGGTATATCTGCATCTCCATCAATAGAGACTTTTCAAGAAAACAAAGGAAGGAAAATCACGTATCAATTGGAAGATCAAAACTCAATTAAAGCAGTCAGATTCATGGATCAAGGTATGTTTCCGCACTTTTCATTGTCTTTTTGATTTCAACATGGAATTTATGATTTTATAAAATGATTTTATGAATATGGTTCCTTTCAATTTGTGCAACAGCGTCCCCCTATTGAAAGGTCATATATGTCCAAATGCTTTACTCAAGACTTGAATGAAACTATCCTTTACCTTGTCCAACCCAAGGTCGAAGTGTCTTGCCCCGTTTGAGGCAGGGATATCCTCCTTAATTGGGACGAAAAGGCCATTTCAAGGCAAAAACTGTTGTTCAAGTATGGGACAGAATCTTCAGCCTGATTATCTGATTCTTTAAAAATCAAAATTTATTTGAAATCACTCCAACTCGAAATTTTTATGCCCAAATCAATTGGTTACTCAAGTCTTTAGTTCAGCTCCTAAATTATCCACATGCTCCTAAAATTTAATTGAAGAAATTAAAAAATTTATAAATGGAACATAAGAGCTGGGATTGGGATGGGACAATACTACTCATGAAAAATCAAGAGCATACTTGAGCCAGCTTAGGCATCTAAATGGAGTAGAGATGTTTGTTGGAAATATGTGTGGATGGAGTGACAATCAAACGCTCGGTAAGTCTTGAAATTTTGATGGAGTTGCAACAGGAAATGGATCGAATGTTCCAGAAATGGATCAAATGTTCCACCAAATCAGTCCAGAGAATATCACAATATAATTCCAAAATATTCTACAAATTGATGTCAAATGGATGTAATTCGAGAAAAGTGTTGAACACTTTGTCCTTAAGTTGAATTTGCCCCACAACGGTGCCTATAGTTTATGGCAATCAAATTCCAAAATACGATGACTTCTTCTTGTGTGAGTAGCACTTCAACACAAGAGAACAACAAACCAGAAATATAATATATGTACTCTTTGATGCAAACGAGAGAAAACCATAATTTTATGCAATGTTTATGCAAAATTTGGTTGAGAAATAAGAGAGAATGTTATCTTTATGATTGCAAATCATTGGTGTGAAAAAATTGACGTCTCCAGGGTCCTATATGTAGAGGGGAAAAGGTTATGAGTAAAGAAAAGCGATCAAGAACTCAACAACCTTTGTCAAGGGTTGCAACACTTGACGTCGCTAGCTTTCTGCTTAGGCTTCGCTCGAGCATCAAAAATAGTGAGTCATTCGCTTACTCTTCGTAGGACCATCACTCGAGCGATAGGCTAGTGCTAGGCGAACAACGGTGTTGTTGGATTTTTCAGCCATTACCTTCCAAATTTGGATCATAATTTCTCATTCATTTATAATTGGTTTTTGCCTTCCAAATATATCATGATGATCCACTCGATGAGTAGAACAAATTAGTCTATTTACATTCGTAATTTGACTAGTGGATAAAATACAAACATTTGTTCGAAGTCAACACCTAGTCAATTTCAAGTTATACTTAACAACTTTTATGTATCTTTAACCAATTCCATTAATGTGTACCTTTTAACTCATAATAAACTTATTGGGTTGGGTGGACAATAGAAATTTATCAGGGTTATTTAATCCAGTTACTATTGATAGAAAACATTGTGTTAAATCATCATTATCATTATTTTGGTCTAACATAACCTAATATTAGGTTTGGCATCTTGGATTAGACTGATAAAGAATTTAATATAACTTTTGTAATGGATAGTACTAATTATAAATTAAGGTGGATGCATTTTATTATATTTTATCTAGTTAAAATTGAATGTGCATTGCACGTTATTCTAAAATTTTTATAAGTAATGTAAAAGTAATATTTGGTACCAATTTATCGGAAAATTTGATGAGTCTTGGACAACTTAAAGAAAATAAAATATAGCATAAAAATTTAAGAGAAAAAAATTGTACTCTCAAAACTCAATTTCTATAATTCAATTTTTTTGTAGTGATAAAATATTATGAATGAGCAATCTTTTTATATTACATTTAATACATAAAAATTAATTATTAATACATGAATTCAAACACTCATTAAAATTTCTATATACCATATACATGAATATGAATAAATTTATCTATAATTACTTTAGATTCACGTAATTCAAGATTTATCAAGTGAAAATTCAATGAATCTAGATTAATGTGAATATTAATTAATTGAGAATTAATAATACAAATTCCATGAATGATAAATAATTTTGTAGTATTTACGTATTGAAAAATGAAAAATAAGGTATTATTGAAATAATTGAATTATATGAGGGCTAAAATTGTCTATAAAATGATTCTACTCTATGTGATATTTTAATATACAAGTCAAAGTTGAACGTGTATTGCACGTTACTTAAAAATGTTTTATAAGTGATGTAAAAGTTATATTTAGCACCAATTTGTTGGAGGATTTGATGAGTTTCGTACGAATTAAAAAAATAAAATTTAACATAGAAATTTAAGAGAAGAAAATTGTACTCTCAAAACTCAATTTCCATGATTTAAAATTTGTGTAATGATAAAATATTATAAATGATCAATCTTTTTATATTACATTTGATACATAAAAATTAATTGTTAATATCTAAATTTAAATACCCATTAAAATTCTTAGATACATGAATATGAATAAATTCATCTATAATAACTCTAAATTCATGTAATTTAAAATTTATCAAGTGAAAATTCATTGAATCACAAATTTCATAAATGACAATAATTATACAGTATTTATTACATATTGAAAAACGAAAAAATAATGTCTTATTGAAATTATTGAATTATAAGAAGGTTAAAATCTTTCAAAAAATAATTCTCCTCTGATGTGATATTTTAATATATTATAGATATGAATCTTATAACACAAAGTGGATGTTGATTTGAGTTGTGTTGAGTTAGGCTGGCTACTAATCTATAATTAAATGATATATTTATTATTATTATTATTATTATTTATTTATTTTTTTTTATTTTGGCATAGATGGTCCTATATGGTCAAACGTTTAACATAATCTTATATGGTTAGACCATCTATTCAAATCCCAACGAATCACATTTTGAGATATTCAAAATGCTACACGTCACCATAATGAATCCTCTTTATTTCTCTCTTACCTCTCGGACAATATCGCATTTTGGATGGCTCAAGATTCGAGGTGTCATGATTTATATAAACAATCTTATCACGTGTTCATATAGGATCGTCCCATCACAGCATTTCTCCAATTTATCTTGCATTATGTTAATTACTTTTCAGCACAATTACAAAAATAATAATTAAAGTGATTATTTATTCCAGATATTTTATTTCTCTTGAAAAACTACAGTGATTATGCTTATCATTTGTCTTTTACAAAGTATTCTCCTTTTACAAAATTTTAAGAATTTTATGGTGTTTAAACTTTAGACTCCTATTCTATAAATTAAAATAATACCACACTAAGTATCTGGCTTAGCCTCCAATAGCACTTTCTGTGTTATTATAATTTTGTTAAACAAATATTCTATTCATCTATTTGAAAATTTATATTCACATGAAATAACTGTTTAATATGGTATAAGAGGGTAAAGTTTAAAATTCAAATTCCATTTTACTGATCATTAAAACTTAATGTATTAACTTTATTATTAAAAATTAAACCAATCAGCATTTATCATAATTTTTCTCTAAAAATTTAAGTTCTTCATTAAGATCATTCAATCACGAAATTTGCAAGCATAAGAAAATTAGGGCCTTAACTTTAATTCTTATTAAAATTAATGTAATGATTATAACAAATATTAACATCATGATAAATATCTGTGCAAATTAAAAAAATAAAAATTAATGATAGAAATTAATGCAAAGATAATAACCTAATACTTAATTTTTCAAATCTTTAATATGTATATGATAAATGTCCTAAGGGAAAAAGTAAAATGCTTTTGAATTTTGCGTGAAATTAATATACAAAGTTGTATGAGCAAATGGAGATTTCCATTTGTACAAAAAATCGTTCTACAGAATTCTGCCAGAAATCTCACATGTGTGGAATCCATATTGTGATAAAAATTGCCAAAAACTCCTCCCACCCACTCTCAGCTGTGTCTGTTCTGTATGACTTCTGTGTATTCAGATTCTGTACACAAAGCAAGCTTCTAATTTAAGAGATTAATTGTGATTAAAGTAAAATGAATTGCATTAGATTGGCAACTTGCAAAACTTATGGGACTCTTCATTTTTTCCCCTCCTAATTTGCTCCTAGTTAAGAGTTTTTCTCAGAAAAAATAACCAATCAAAAGGGCATATTGGTCATTTGACCATTGTGCTCACAAGGGTAATTATAATTGCACCACAATTTTTACTTCGTACGGCACATTTTAATTACACTTAAGATTCTAAATATTTGTTCATCATATTATCTATGTCCCTGACGTTTTTTCATTACATTCTTTTTCTTAATTTTTCATTAATTAACACCTTGTATCATTTATTTTTAGTTTTCTATTTTGAGAGTCTGTTTTGAAATTGTTAAAAATGTGTTTGATTTGTTATTTTGAAAAATTATTTTTCAAAATAGAAAATTAGAAAACATAATTATTTGGTTTGAAAATTTGAAAAATTATTTTATGACATTTTATTTATTGAAATTTGATTGTTTAGTAAAAAAGAACAATTTTATGTTAATATATATACATTTTAAAGCTGGTGAAATATACAATATTAT